GAGAGGACTGGTAGGGATGAAATAGGGCTAGAAGGTGGGCATCTACGGGGATGACCTAAAATGCCACGCTGAGTGATTTGGAACCTCTGTGAGAGTGAGTGTGGCATCACAAAAAGTTTTGAGAATATAGCAATGGAGTTAAGGCAGTGGCATAGGAATATTCAATATAGTTAGCAAAAGAGATTGGAAGAGTACTCGGAGACGGTTCCTACAACCCTTGTGAGAGACCAGCAGAGCCTAAGTGCTGATGATTGTGGGTGGAAGGTATGAGTGACATTTCGACATGTTCACTCTAACGTCTAATACAGAAACAACTTACACAAAGGGTACTCAAAGCAATTTAAATGTTTACCATCCAGAAGTAGGAATTACACAGTAGGTTATTTTAAATAATTGTTACAATCATTGATTATCAGAGTTAGTAAGAAATTTAGAAACATCTAGTCTTACCTCATTTTCCAGGCAAGTAAGTAGGCCTAGAGCACTAAGTGATTTGTCAAAAGATGCAAAGATGATCAGTGCCTGGGAAAGACACTGTAATGTAAGTTTCCTCGGTCCTAGACTGCCTGGGGACCTCCCATAAGAATAGTATACAGTTTTCATAGCATTTGGTTACTTCACTAAAGCATCTTTTGATCATTTTTAATTATCTTCTTATATACGAGTGTCTGAAGGCCCAATTTCAGTCTCCTTGGCTGGTGGCTCTTGTACTGAACTTCAAAACAAGGAGCTTGGACTGAGAATGTAGCTTAGTGGTAAAACACCTACCTAACATGCATGAGGCTTTGGTTCAATCCCCAGCACTGCCAAAAAACTGTCTCAAGATTCTGTATATGCTTTCACCTACTTACTTAGTTACAACTACTACCTGTATATAAAAGCATCCAGATCTAAGCCTCTAGTTGTGACCTTTTGGCTAACATCACACCCACACTTGATACGTCTCTTAGTTACAACTACTACCTGTATATAAAAGCATCCAGATCTAAGCCTCTAGTTGTGACCTTTTGGCTAACATCACACCCACACTTGATACGTCTCACTCGAGTTACTAAACACAATGTATTATTTTTCTCTTTTGAGTTCCCTGGTTGGGTTACAGGATTATCCAGTCAACTTAGTCTGGAAACAATATTCCCCTTTAATTCTGCCTCCTATTTGCTAGTTTAAATACCACTTGAATATAGGACTTTCTTTCCATTTGACTGGTATACTCATGGCTTTATTCCTATCCCACTGGACTACTATGGTTATATCCCACTGGGGCCCCTGCTAATCACTGCTTCCTCATTCCATATATTTTCATCATGCTTTTCAGATACAAAACACACAGTTGGAACCTATCAAGCTCCCTTGACTTCTTACTTGAACTAAATAGCCTCCTAACTGAAGGGGTGGATAACTTGCTTTGTAAACAGCCACACAGTAAATATTTTAGATTTTGAGGACCATAGCCAACTTTGCTGTGTAATGTTGTACATCATACATAATGGACAACTGTACCTATATTCCACAAAACTTTATTTATGTATAGTCTTTAAGTGTTAGAAAGTAATATTATTATGATTATATAATAGTATTATAATGACATAATAGCATTATTATTATTATGGAGTCTATTTCCCAAGATGCCCGCAAATTCTTAGGCTCATGTGATCCTCCTGTCTCAGCCACTCATGAAGTTGAGACTACAAGTGCATGCCACTGTACCTGGCACAAAATACTACCTTTCCTCCAAACAAACAAAAAACAACAACTATACCTGACTTATAAATCATGCAGAAACAAACACTAGGCCAGATTTTGCCCAAAGTCTGTAGTTGCTGGCCATGTCTCCTACGTCACTTCTCCAAGTTCACTCCCTACACTGCTATATGAGTCAGGATCCCAACCCAGAAAGTTGATCCTGCTGACAGCTTCAAATGCATTGAGACCAACCTACTATTCTTGGAATGGCCAAGACTCCCACAAGGTCCTTCCTCTGGACCCTGATGTCCTTCTCAGTCTTACCTTCCACCAAATACCTACTCTGATTGTACAGTTTATGATCTCTACCACCTTTAAGTCTTTGCATACATTGCCCCCCCTGCACTGGTATATCCAGCCCATCTTTTTCCACTTTGAAAACTCCTACTCCTGAACTAACTAACCAAGATCACTGCCAAATATCTTCTCTTTCTCGACAATTATTTTCACTCTCAGCTTTCCCTACCACCTTCACCTTCCCCCATGCAAAATGAGCCAATTCTCCTTCCTATATGATCCCATAGTAATGTTAACTTCTACCATAGCAGTATTGTCACACTTTATTATAACTACACTTATAAATCTGGCCTCTTTAATTGAGTGTAAGCAACTAAAGGATATGAAATGAGTCTTATTATTCTCTTAGGACCAAGTAGAGTACAGTGGTACCTTGGTTCACGTACTTGACTCTTTCCAGCATTCTGGTTGCAAACTGAGTTGGGCAAGCACCCAGTCAAATTCAATGGTTAGGTTCAATGTTGACCTTATGGAGAAATTTGTTTCAATCTTACTTCAAAGATAGTAGGTACTCAGTAAATGTTGACTAAATGACTGCTTCATGCCACAGGTCTTGCAATAAATGCTGTATTTTTTTCACTGTTTAAAATCCAATTTAAATCAAAATAAAGAGAAACACCACGTTTTTTCTTTCAGATTGACCTACAGATTTCTACGTTAATTTTTAAATTTTCTTTGACCCTAAAGATACACATCCTGATTTCACCATTACTTTATAACACAGATTTCATATTTGATTTTTAAACTGTAATAAGACTATGCCAGTCAAGATGTTTGAAACTGAATGGTGAGGTGTTGTTTATTTGCATTTTAGCTGGTCTGTGCTGAAAAAGAAAAACAGTGTTTCTCAGCCACACCTGAGTATATGAACCAATAAACAATGATCAAAGCTGACGAACTCTTTTTTAAAAAAGTGTATCAGAAGTACTTAGTCCCACAACCAAGTCACATTTTAATGCAAAATAGAGAAATATGTATGGTTCCCTACCAATTGTGGTATTTAAATTTATGAATGTGGATTTTATAAAAGATGAGCATAAACTAAACATAAAATGCTTTTAAAGAGTACTGCATTTAGAGAACAGGTAATTAAATTTTATTTCCGTAAAACTAGGTTTAAATTTTTGTAGAATTGGTTAATTAAAGCTCAGTGGAAAAAGCTTTCTATCAAACCAAGCAAAACAGTTTTTCTTAAGAACAAAGGAATTAGTTACCACTTGTCCATTTTCAGCAGTTGGTGCATCTTAATACACTCTACTTGCAAGAAATTGATCTTGTCAAACAGTACAAATTGATACTGTTTGGGAAAACTCTCTACGGACCTTGACTCCAGTAATTAAGTCTCTGAATAAGACAGAATGGCAAAAGAGGCAAAGGCAGCATTAATATTTATTTACTGCAGCTCAGCCACAGAGACATTAAAAGCTGCCCTATTTCTGTGGTTTACTAGTACTTAGCACACAAATGGTTAGTACTCAATACAAATCTGACAGAAAAGAAAAACTGTACCATTATCGTGATGAAGCTAAATTCTGAAACTCTGTAGATTAAATAACCACCGGAACTAGGTCAGCATTATGTTCTCAGTTCCACAATGGCAATTCGTTAAGCAGACATTAAAAGAACAGCTATCATTCTGTACAATTAAGCAATATTTTCTCATAAAAGTGTTTAATCTAAGGATTTTTCACAAATATCGTAATGTATACATGATTTATTTTCCTTCTTTCTATCTTTCCTCTCTTTTTCTCTCACTGTTTAAAAAGGGAAGGTGTCAAACCATTTGGAATATTATCACAACAAAAATTTTTTTTTCCTTAACAAAGTTTGATTTTAACAGAACTAGAGGCATCTTAACACTAACCCAAAACTTTGGGAGGTTCACCAACCTCTAGAATATTTTTTCTCCAAATGCAGGCTGTTCAAGTGGTGCTTTTCTCCATCTGTTATCATACCGTGCTCAGAATTACATTGTCATATTTAATGTAAAAGGGATCAGTCCCCTTTCATAGTTTAAATTCAACATAGTACTATAATTGGAAGACCAATGTTTTTCTATTTTATAAACTAAATCAAATATCATAAACTTACATGTGTATTTAGATAAAATTCTCTCTTAAAAACTGAAAAACTCTAAGAACTGAATAAGCCCAAAGGCTTGATCTGAAACTGAAAAACTGTACTAAAACTCAAAGTGAGAAAGATCCTCTTACATGGTAAAGTGAAATATCTACTATCCCTTTTTGATTTTTCCCTGTGTGTGCACTTAGGTACGTGTGTGTGTTTTTCCAATACAGCAAATGCAGTACTTACAACCTAAATGGTCTTATTTTAATTTAGAGTTGAGTATATGTGTACTAAAGTTTACAACAATAGTGATCGCATCACAATATCTCATAATGAAAACAATGCAATCTGAAACCTTTACGATAGAAGTGTGGTTATTATAATGATTTGAACATGCACAGTGCTAATCAATTTGATCTCTAAATTTTACACCTCTTTAGGACACAGATCCTTATTTTGTATCAGCTCCATTTCAATTTGCATTTTAGGATTTTTTTACTTTGTCTCTTTCATCACTGACATATCTGCTTATTTCCCTAAATGTATTCTTTAGATCCAACATGTCAGTGTTTTTATCAGACGATGAATTAACAGGAGAGGTTGTGGTGATGGTGGGAGAATCATGTCATTTTGCTTATATTGATAGCGAATCACTTAAATATTTGAGCATTGTAGATGAAAGGTTTTGTAATATATCAGTAATTCTCTGCCACACTTATCATTCACATGTCTGGGTGTTTTGCTTACCACATCTCCACTTTCCTTAATATGCCTGAAAGCTGTGTGTGAATCGAATGACTAAGACTAAAGCTAACAACTGTTTGGAAGCCTGTGGCAAAAATCAGTGGAATGGAATCAGGGCAAGGGTGCATAATGGGATTAGGGAGTACCTGGTGAGGTGCAGTTGGTGCTCGGATTCGCCCAGCAGTTCTGTTAGTTGCAGGCACTCCTCTCTGGCCCGGGCTGCCTTCTGCTGCTCCTGTTCCACGTGCTGTTTGCTTTCACTCAGTTCTAGTCTCAATTTCTCTATTTCCTTAGGTAGAGAGCAGGGGAAAAAAAGCATCCGTATGAAATATGTGCACTTAAGTTCAAATTAGCTCATGTTAATTTTTCCTTTGGATTTTAATGTGATGAAAAATTATTAGAAAATTTAGGCTAGCTTCTGTTTTATGACAAAGGGAATTAGCACATCCAGACATGCACATTAGTGAGGTTGTTTTGGATGTAAGATGAAATCTGGTTTTAAAAATGAAATGATTAAATGAGAGTTGTCAAAACGCATAGTCTGCACTTCCATCCTAAGGCTGGTTGCCTTTAAAAAGTCATTATAATTTAAAATACCACTACCTTCAATATGTAATATCTTTGTTTAAAAGATTGATCAGATACATTCAGGGATTTTCACCAAATATGTGACTTTCTCTTCTGAAAGATACAATTTATAATTTCATTTGGATGTTATGAAAACCAGATTAAAGGTTAAAATAATTTAAAATATCTTTAAAAAAATGTGAAGTGTACAAGAAGCCATTATTACAGTGTTCAATATTATTTGAGAAATGATTTAGAGAGAATAAAGCATGAGAATCTTTAAGCTTAAGAGTGCATGATAATTTGGAACTGTTACAATATTACATTAAAATTTGCATTTCAAAACAGCAACAAAAGCATCTAAGACTAATAAATGAGTATATAAAAATGAAAACCTATGATTGGTTTCAAAAAGAAATTATTTTTACTGTACTGAAACTTAAATATTTCTAAGCAAAAATACTGACGTACAGTTTTAAACAATTTCTATAATAAAGTAGAAATATTTCTTACAGAACACTTATGAAATTAAGTGAAAGAAAATAGACTTGAACATTTAAAGATATTCAGATTAAAACAAGAAAAACAAAAGAAGAAAGGGCAGAAATATTTTCAGGTTTAACAGGAAATAAGAAACAATTTTGATACATAAAAATACGATGTCCTTTTGAGAAAAAAAGTCATGTCTAAGCTAAGTGTTTTAAAGTCAGCATCTAAATATATGTTTAAATTATGTCATTATGTCATTTATTTCATTATGTCTTTACTCAAAATCCTGAATGATCTCCACCTATAGTTAATATATTATATAAGATAAATTTAACAATTAATTTGTATATTTTGTTACATTCATTAACACTATATTCAGGTTATTCCCATCAAAATTATATATTACCAATAATATAATTTATGTACGTTCTCAAATATTTTTTTAAAAATGTAATAATGAATATATTGCTTACATTTCAAAGTAGACTTGCTATATCTTTCAGAGTAGAATATTAAACATAATTGATTTATTTATTTAAAATATTTTGTTATTAACATTATACTAATATATTCTAATCTCATATGTGGTTAGAGGTGAAAAACAATAAAGTCTATTAAATTTTACTTGTTTAACATTTATGAAATTAACAAAAGCAAAGTACAGAATTGGAATTTTATGTTGACTTTATTTTTTTTTTAATGTTGACTTTAAAACTTCAAAAATTCACCGATTTTTCATACAATGCTATATACAAAAAATGTGCTAAATATTATATTGGACTTAAACAGTTCCCATGTCTATATTCAGAAATCAACAATTCATCTGGGCACATCAGTAATATACACACAAAAAACTAACAAAATACAAAGTATACATTAAAAAATTAGTTGTTAATCCATGATAATCCACACATCCATATCCAGATGAGAGCTAAATTAGCACACTCAAGAAGAGAAAGGAAGTAAGGCCACAAAAACACATGGAATGATAGAGCAGATCCCATTATGAAAGGTCTTGAATTATAGATTAATAAAGCTGTATTTTTCTTAATATAATGGGAGACATTACTGGTTTAAACAGGTATGCCATATGACAGAAGCTAAGTTTTACAAAAACTACACCAATGTGTAAGATCAAATTGAGGTGGAAAAGAATAGCAGAAGGGAGACGAGACCAGATAGGATGAGTAGAGAGACTTTAAGCAGAAATATAAAGAAAGTGTAGTGATTTAATCAGAATAAAAGGACAAGTGCTAGAGACCAAAGATGACCCCAGAATTTGGAACTGAGAAAATACTACAGAATGACAGATATAGGGAACATAAAATTCCAAACTTTCTTTAAAAGAAAGACACAGGCTGGAGATGTCATACTTATCTTGCATGTGCAAGGGCCTAGGTTCAATCCCCAGCATTAAAACATAAAAAAAAACAACAATTTTTAAGCACCATGCGATCACACAGCAACAACATATAGTATATGCCTCACACTGTTAGGTTTGTACGCATAAATCAACTGCTTTCTTATCTCATGTGATTAGTCAGAGGCTACACTGAAAGCCAGTCAAACATAGAGGGAAAGAACATACTCACAAGTCCAAGAGCCAAGATAAATCAGGGCCCCAGGCACAGCTCTGCATTTTTCAGCTCTGTGACCTTGGACAAGTCATTTGACTACCACCTAACTTCTTCAGCCTAAAATGAAAGTGAAACTGTAGCAAGCTCCAAGGACTTGTGAAGACTGACTGGGATGATGAGTATTTAGCTGAGCGCTTAGCACACGCGAGCTATAAAATACCTATCAAAACTAGCAAAGTGGTGAAGTAGAAAAAAAGACTTGCCTAAGGGTACTTGACTATCTTTAAAGAGTCCTTGATAGATTCAGTAAAATTTCCTACTTCTTTATATAGCAGCATTTTGGTAAAAACTGAATAAAACTCTATCTTTTATAATTTCAAATGCAAAAAGCATTTTTGTTAGGAAGATGGAAAATTACTGCCTACTTCTGATTATCCATGCCAGCGAGAGAGCTTACTGGTACAGATAATCAAAACCAACAAATAATCAAACCAGCTGGACTAGGGCTCAACACTCACACCCTAAGTCAGGAAAATCTGCCATGGCACCAACTCCAACAGTTAGAAAAGAAAGCTCTTGCCAGAAATACCACGCTCCCACTGGCAGGATAATCCTTCGCCTCACCCAACTAGGTCAGGGCCACTTCCTTGGCTGTACATAGTGACTCACGGATGAAAGGCCAACCACGGTCATAGGCCAACTGTGCATTCCTCTCAAAGTACACTATTAACCTACGTGCCTACCATGCTGTTGATGTGGGCTTCTTTTGGCCAAATGGGCAAAGGCAGATCCAGATAGCTTTACCAAGAGATCCTAACCAAAAGATCCACTTCAAATCATGCAGACAGGGGCCAGGGATGTTGCTCACTGGGACAGTACTTGCCCAATATGCAACTGAAAGTTGAAACTGATGGAACAGGACAATAGGGCCAGCAATGGGACATGAAGAGAGGGAACCATGTTACTGTTTATTTATATCCTCTATACTGTAGAAAGCTTTCCTTTAATCATGGATATATGTACCTTTTTTTTTTTTTATTACTGATTGTCTTGGTTACTTTTCTCTCATTGCTGATACAAATACGCGATGCCCAGAATTAAGGAAGGAAAGGTTTATTTAGCTCACAGTTTGTGGAGGTTTCAGTCCATACTTGGCTGGCTCCAAGGCAGGGTGGCACATGGCAGAGGGCAACAGTTCATGGTGGTGGGAGACAGCAAAGCAACAAGAGCAAAAGGGAGGAGCAAGAGGGAAGACTCTTTCCCTCTCATCTATTATATGCAGGCTACCTGCCCTGCTACACCCAGCGCAGGGTGGGTGTAGCACTCACACCCATAATCCCAGCACTCACCCATCATCCCAATGGACCATGAGTCAATCAAAAACTCTAGAAGCCCACCCCATGACTGCATGAAGTTTTGGGGGGACATCTAGACACAAAGCATAACATTGATGGTGTTTTCTTATCAAAGTAATTCACCCAATTTAAATCAAATAGTATTCAATTCCTCTTAGCAAAGAAAAGCAGTGGCCATGTTCTACGGCTTGCCAGTCTCTAAACCTAATCCAAGGGTCCATTATCAGCTCTTCTGATATTTATCTACATATTACTAAATGACATACTTATATTGCTCCTTTTTGACTTTGCAATACCAGAAATTATTAATCTCCTATGTTAAAAGAGGTAACAAGCAAAATGCAGTGTCACATGCCTGTACGCTAACATACTCAGGAAACTGAGGCAGGAAGATCTCTTTAAGCACAGGACTTCAAAGCCAACCTGAGCAACATAGTAAGAACTTGTCCCAGAAAAAGAAGTAACAATTTAGGTCTCCCACACCATCCACCTATATACAATTTACGCTCCCACAGAATAATTTTTGTTAAAACATTAGTAGTTTATTTACATTATTATTTGTGGAAAATCTGTGCACTACTGTAACAAGCATTACATTGAGTTTTTTTTACACATTATTTCATTATTTCTGGAATTAATTGCTTTTTTTGAGATGGGTCTCACTGTGTTGCCCAGACTGGTCTCCACCTCTGCCTCAGCCTCACCAGTAGCTAGGACTACAGGCATACATCACTACACCCAGCAACCTAGTGTTTAAATAGTTCATTTTCCTAGGTAACCAATATTTTCCCTTAAGAATTAAAACAGATTTGTCAAATACTAATACTGTAGTATGTTTTCAAATAGTTGAACATCAGATAGACTATAAGTTCCTTTAAACCCCCTCCCCCACCAATGTCCTTTGTGGCTTACATCTGGCCTTTTTGATCTGCTTATGTTAAATCCTCCCAGTGCTCCTTTAGAGTGTCCTGTTTTGTGGATCACAAGTCATCCTACTTCTCAGTTTACTTTTTGGGGGAAGGATTGATGTATTTTCTCTAGGTAGTTTTCATAAGAAAAAAAAAAATCCATGTTTTGTACTGATTTGTATGCCTTATTTGAAAATCCTGTTGTTTTGTACATATACTCAATAGTTTTGATGGGTATATAATTGCATTTTGAGATTGATTTTCACTTAGGATGTTTAACATCATTTTCTTTAATATTCTAACATTATAAATTAAAAAGCCTATGCTGTTATAATTCCCAACATTTTCAGTAGGCCTTTTTTTTTAAATCTGAAGGCTTATTTCCTACAGTAT